GCCCCCCCCCTTTTTTTTAATTTTTTCCTAATCAAACCGGCCTGGTCATTCCATACAGTCCACCCTCAGGTTTTAACTAGGCTTTAGCTGGACGTTTTTAAATGTAAATTTCAACTTGATTTGTTTCTGTTTCTGAACAGCTTTGTTTACATTTATTTTGGCCTATTTACAGATTTTAAGTAGTTTTGTATATTTGGATGTAATAGTTTACAACGTGGAAGGAAATGTTTTGACCCTAATTTCAAATGTATTTTCAAAGTCAATTTGACCATTTTGTTGGTTTAGTTTTTTTGTACTTTAGTAGAGAAGTGTCAAAGTGTAAATGTAGTTCTGTCATTCTGATCACCTAAGGGTTAAGGAAGAATGTACTGTAGTTTCATACGCAACTACCATGCCAAATTGTTCCTGCCGTCACAGAGTATTGTACCGTGACTCTCTTCTATAGCTCATCTATTCATCATTCTCTAACTTAATTATTTAGCTTGATGTACAAACAGCCACTAACATCCACATTTCACCGGGTCCTTTCACTGGATGATTGATCCCACTGTTATTCCAGGAGCTTTACATTGACCTCTTCAGTGATGCTATAATAATTCACCACTGTTTGCAATGGGAGCTTCTCCCTCCATGGTTCTTTGGCTGTGTTCAAAAGTGGCACCCTAATCCCTATGTAGTGCACTACTTTTGACCAGAGTCCTGGTCAAAAGTAGTGCACTACATAGGGAATAGGAGGCCATTTTGGACGCGGAACAGAGATGATCCATGTGTCATTCTCTTACAGAGTCACTGGAGCAAAAGGGTGTGTTTGGCAGCTGTTTTAATAAGCTGTATAGCGTATTATTACAGTGAGCAAGGTACTGATCATTTCCACTGATTTGTGAGTATACCATGTATCCTGCTACCATGTATCCTGCTGCCATGTATCCTGCTGCCATGTTTGTGTCTATAGCACTGGGCCCATGTCAAACAATCACCAGCCTGCTGATCCTATCCTGAGCCTATCCCAGTAAATGTGGCCCATGTCAAACAATCACCAGCCTGCTGATCCTGTCCTGAGCCTATCCCAGTAGATGAGGGGATTGTGTTATGCTATGTGTTTATTACCTGTGGAATCTCAATACCAAAGAGGGCTGGGTATCCGTTAAAGTAACTGTCCAGTGGAAATCTCACTTTTAATGCTGCAATATATAACTTATTGGGCGACGCAACCAAATTCACATAGAAATGTGAGTTATAGATCTGTCATTCTCATTGAAAGCAAGTCTAAGAAGGTAGATCTGTTCTATATGCACTATTTCTATGCTTCCCGTTCTTAAGTTTAGTTTTTGCGTCTTTTACATTCGTTTTTTTACACCGGTTTCAAAATGCTGAAAATACAATATTTTTGGTTATGGAAAATATATTTCACAGTACAATGATTCTCTAAACTATTCTTGCTTGTTTTGTCACATAAACTGAAATTAGGAGAAATGCTCACTAACAGGGATGTAAACAAATATGTGCACAAAATTGGAGAGAAATAAGCTTTTTGTGCGTATGGAAAATGTGTTTACATCCCTGTTAGTGAGCATTTCTCCTTTGCCAAGATAATCCATCCACCTGACAGGCATATCAAGAAGCTGATTAAACAGCATGATCATTACACAGGTGCACCTTGTGCTGGGGACAATAAAAGGCCAGACAACACAATGCCACAGATGTCTCAAGTTTTGAGGGAGTGTGCAATTTACATGCTGACTGCAGGAATGTCCACCAGAGCGATTGCCAGAGACTTGAATGTTCATTTCTCTACCATAAGCCACATCCAGCGTCATTTTAGAGAATTTGGCAGTATGTCCAACCGACCTCAACCGCAGACCACGTGTAACCACGCCAGCCCAGGACCTTTACATCCGGCTTCTTCACCTGCGGGATCGTCTGAGACCATCCACCTGGACAGCTGATGAAACTGAGGGTTTGCAAAACCGAAGAATTTCTGCACAAACTGTCAGAAACCATCTCAGGGAAGCTCATCTGCGTGCTCGTTGTCCTCACCAGGTTCTTGACCTGACTGCAGTTTGGCGTCTTAACCGACTTCAGTGGGCAAATGCTCACCTTCAATGGCCACTGGCACATTGGAGAAGTGTGCTCTTCACGGATGAATCCCAGATTCAACTGTACCGGGCAGATGACAGACGTTGTGTGGGCGAGCGGTTTGCTGATGTCATCGTTGTGAACAGAGTGCCCCCATGGTGGGGGTGGGGTTATGGTATGGGCAGGTATTAGCTACGGACAACGAACACAATCGCATTTTATCGATGGCAATTTGAAATGCACAGAGATACCGTGACGAGATCCTGAGGCCCATTGTCGTGTCATTCATCAGCCACCATGAACTGTAACTCAGTCAAATCTTAGGAGTTCTACAGCCTTCACTGTGTTTATTCTGTAATTTAATCTACTTGTTGTGTTCTTTGGTCATGTGATACATTATGTCGCTGTTGGAACTGAGACCCCCCCCCCCCCAACAGCTGGCTGTGAATTTACACCAACACCAGTATGAGAGGAGAAACGTACTGTACATGGACAGAACAGAACACATTATAACCCCTTCACCTTTACTAACCTGCACAGGACAGAACACATTATAACCCCTTCACCTTTACTAACCTGCACAGGACAGAACACATTATAACCCCTTCACCTTTACTAAACTGCACAGGACAGAACACATTATCACCCCTTCTCCTTTACTAACCTGCACAGGACAGAACACATTATAACCCCTTCACCTTTACTAAACTGCACAGGACAGAACACATTATCACCCCTTCTCCTTTACTAACCTGCACAGGACAGAACACATTATAACCCCTTCACCTTTACTAAACTGCACAGGACAGAACACATTATAACCCCTTCACCTTTACTAAACTGCACAGGACAGAACACATTATAACCCCTTCACCTTTACTAACCTGCACAGGACAGAACACATTATAACCCCTTCACCTTTACTAACCTGCACAGGACAGAACACATTATAACCCCTTCACCTTTACTAACCTGCACAGGACAGAACACATTATAACCCCTTCACCTTTACTAACCTGCACAGGACAGAACACATTATAACCCCTTCACCTTTACTAACCTGCACAGGACAGAACACATTATAACCCCTTCACCTTTACTAACCTGCACAGGACAGAACACATTATAACCCCTTCACCTTTACTAACCTGCACAGGACAGAACACATTATAACCCCTTCACCTTTACTAACCTGCACAAGGAACAGAACACATTATAACCCCTTCACCTTTACTAACCTGCACAGGACAGAACACATTATAACCCCTTCACCTTTACTGAACTGCACAGGACAGAACACATTATAACCCCTTCACCTTTACTACCTGCACAGGACAGAACACATTATAACCCCTTCACCTTTACTAACCTGCACAGGACAGAACACATTATAAACCCTTCACCCTTTACTGAACTGCACAGGACAGAACACATTATAACCCCTTCACCTTTACTAACCTGCACAGGACAGAACACATTATAACCCTTCACCTTTACTAACCTGCACAGGACAGAACACATTATAACCCCTTCACCTTTACTGAACTGCACGGACAGAACACATTATAACCCCCTTCACCTTACTAACCTGGCACAGGACCAGCAACCCAATTATAACCCCTTCACCGTACTACCTGCACAGGACAGAACACATTATAACCCCTTCACCTTACTAACCTGCACAGGACAGAACACATTATAACCCCTTCACCTTTACTAACCTGCACAGGACAGAACACATTATAACCCCTTCACCTTTACTAACCTGCACAGGACAGAACACATTATAACCCCTTCACCTTTACTAACCTGCACAGGACAGAACACATTATAACCCCTTCACCCTTTAACTAACCTGCACCAACCATTATACCCCTTCACCTTTACTAACCTGCACAGGACAGAACACATTATAACCCCTTCACCTTTACTAACCTGCACAGGACAGAACACATTATAACCCCTTCACCTTTACTAACCTGCACAGGACAGAACACATTATAAACCCCTTCACCTTTACTAACCTGCACAGGACAGAACACATTATAACCCCTTCACCTTTACTAACCTGCACAGGACAGAACACATTATAACCCCTTCACCTTTACTAACCTGCACAGGACAGAACACATTATAACCCCTTCACCTTTACTAACCTGCACAGGACAGAACACATTATAACCCCTTCACCTTTACTAACTGCACAGGACAGAACACATTATAACCCCTTCACCTTTACTAACCTGCACAGGACAGAAAACATTAATAACCCCTTCACCTTACGATAACCTGCCACAGGAACAGGAACACATTATAACCCCTTCACCTTTACTAACCTGCACAGGACAGAACACATTATAACCCCTTCACCTTTACTAACCTGCACAGGACAGAACACATTAAACCCCCTTCACCTTTACTAACCTGCACAGGACAGAACACATTATAACCCCTTCACCTTTACTAACCTGCACAGGACAGAACACATTATAACCCCTTCACCTTTACTAACCTGCACAGGACAGAAAACATTATAACCCCTTTCTCCTCCACTGAACTGCACAGGACAGAAAACATTATAACCCCTTTCTCCTCCACTGAAACTGCACAGGACAGAAAACATTATAACCCCTTTCTCCTCCCCTGAACTGCACAGGACAGAAAACATTATAACCCCTTTCTCCTCCACTGAACTGCACAGGACAGAAAACATTATAACCCCTTTCTCCTCCACTGAACTGCACAGGACAGAAAACATTATAACCCCTTCTCCTCCACTGAACTGCACAGGACAGAAAACATTATAACCCCTTCTCCTTTACTAAACTGCACAGGACAGAAAACATTATAACCCCTTTCTCCTTTACTAAACTGCACAGGACAGAAAACATTATAACCCCTTTCTCCTCCACTGAACTGCACAGGACAGAAACCATTATAACCCCTTCTGCACTGAGAAGAATCTAATCAAGAAATGAGAGGCTCATATACAGTATATATATATATATATATATATATATATATATATATATATATATAGCTGCTATATGCCATTAATTGATTACATGGTAACACTTTCCTTTCTGTCACCAACATGTTATAAACAGAAACAGTTATACAGCTGCTACTGTTTATCAAAGGACATCCACTCTTCAAGGCTGTTTATCAAAATGCTGGATTTCCCCTGAAGCCTCTCCCATTATATTCATGTGGAGTTAGAATTCAAGTCTGGGTAGAACGTTTATCTGGGTTGTAAATAATAAGCAAATAGCACCAGTCACTAGGTCACACAGGAACGCATCCATAATAAACAAGTTGAACATGTCCTGCATATTCCCCATAGCTAATGTTTTCCATGGGAAGAATCTAGGGTCTCTAACATTCTACATATCTGGAGGACTGGAGAGGTTGGAGAGGTTGATGGTTCTCCAAGTCTGTGTCCTATTCTCTATATAGTGGACTACTTTTGACCAGAACCCGTTGGGAATCTCACAGGCCCTGGTCAAAGGTAATGCAGTATGTGGGGAATAGGGCACCGTTTGGGATGCAGACAAGTGTCCTGTTTCCCTCAGAGTTCAGATCAGTGACCTGTTTCCCTCAGAGTTCAGATCATTTACCTGTTTCCCTCAGAGTTCAGATCAGTGTCCTGTTTCCCTCAGAGTTCAGATCAGTGACCTGTTTCCCTCAGAGTTCAGATCAGTGTCCTGTTTCCCTCAGAGTTCAGATCAGTGTCCTGTTTCCCTCAGAGTTCAGATCAGTGTCCTGTTTCCCTCAGAGTTCAGATCAGTGTCCTGTTTCCCTCAGAGTTCAGATCAGTGACCTGTTTCCCTCAGAGTTCAGATCATTTACCTGTTTCCCTCAGAGTTCAGATCAGTGTCCTGTTTCCCTCAGAGTTCAGATCAGGGTCCTGTTTCCCTCAGAGTTCAGATCAGTGTCCTGTTTCCCTCAGAGTTCAGATCAGTGTCCTGTTTCCCTCAGAGTTCAGATCAGTGTCCTGTTTCCCTCAGAGTTCAGATCAGGGTCCTGTTTCCCTCAGAGTTCAGATCAGTGTCCTGTTTTCCCTCAGAGTTCAGATCAGTAACCTGTTTCCCTCAGAGTTCAGATCAGTGTCCTGTTTCCCTCAGAGTTCAGATCAGGGTCCTGTTTCCCTCAGAGTTCAGATCAGTGTCCTGTTTCCCTCAGAGTTCAGATCATTTACCTGTTTCTGTCAGAGTTCAGATCAGTGTACTGGTTTCCCTCAGAGTTCAGATCAGTGTCCTGTTTCCCTCAGAGTTCAGATCATTTACCTGTTTCTGTCAGAGTTCAGATCAGTGTACTGTTTCCCTCAGAGTTCAGATCAGGGTCCTGTTTCCCTCAGAGTTCAGATCAGTGTCCTGTTTCCCTCAGAGTTCAGATCATTTACCTGTTTCTGTCAGAGTTCAGATCAGTGTACTGTTTCCCTCAGAGTTCAGATCAGTGTCCTGTTTCCCTCAGAGTTCAGATCATTTACCTGTTTCTGTCAGAGTTCAGATCAGTGTACTGTTTCCCTCAGAGTTCAGATCAGGGTCCTGTTTCCCTCAGAGTTCAGATCAGGGTCCTGTTTCCCTCAGAGTTCAGATCAGTGTCCTGTTTCCCTCAGAGTTCAGATCATTTACCTGTTTCTGTCAGAGTTCAGATCAGTGTACTGTTTCCCTCAGAGTTCAGATCAGTGTCCTGTTTCCCTCAGAGTTCAGATCAGTTCCCTGTTTCCCTCAGAGTTCAGATCAGTGTGCTGTTTCCCTCAGAGTTCAGATCAGGGTCCTGTTTCCCTCAGAGTTCAGATCAGTGTGCTGTTTCCCTCAGAGTTCAGATCAGTGTCCTGTTTCCCTCAGAGTTCAGATCAGTGTACTGTTTCCCTCAGAGTTCAGATCAGTGTGCTGTTTCCCTCAGAGTTCAGATCAGTGTCCTGTTTCCCTCAGAGTTCAGATCAGTGTACTGTTTCCCTCAGAGTTCAGATCAGTAACCTGTTTCCCTCAGAGTTCAGATCAGTGTCCTGTTTCCCTCAGAGTTCAGATCAGTGTACTGTTTCCCTCAGAGTTCAGATCAGTAACCTGTTTCCCTCAGAGTTCAGATCAGTAACCTGTTTCCCTCAGAGTTCAGATCAGTGTCCTGTTTCCCTCAGAGTTCAGATCAGTGTCCTGTTTCCCTCAGAGTTCAGATCAGTGTACTGTTTCCCTCAGAGTTCAGATCAGTAACCTGTTTCCCTCAGAGTTCAGATCAGTGTCCTGTTTCCCTCAGAGTTCAGATCAGTGTACTGTTTCCCTCAGAGTTCAGATCAGTAACCTGTTTCCCTCAGAGTTCAGATCAGTAACCTGTTTCCCTCAGAGTTCAGATCAGTGTGCTGTTTCCCTCAGAGTTCCGATCAGTGTCCTGTTTCCCTCAGAGTTCAGATCAGTATCTGTTTCCTCAGAGTTCAGATCAGTGTAATGTTTCCCTCAGAGTTCAGATCAGTGTCCTGTTTCCCTCAGAGTTCAGATCAGTAACCTGTTTCCCTCAGAGTTCAGATCAGTATCCTGTTTCCCTCAGAGTTCAGATCAGTGTCCTGTTTCCCTCAGAGTTCAGATCAGTATCCTGTTTCCCTCAGAGTTCAGATCAGTGTGCTGTTTCCCTCAGAGTTCAGATCAGTGTGCTGTTTCCCTCAGAGTTCAGATCAGTGTCCTGTTTCCCTCAGAGTTCAGATCAGTGTGCTGTTTCCCTCAGAGTTCAGATCAGTGTGCTGTTTCCCTCAGAGTTCAGATCAGTGTCCTGTTTCCCTCAGAGTTCAGATCAGTATCCTGTTTCCCTCAGAGTTCAGATCAGTGTACTGTTTCCCTCAGAGTTCAGATCAGTGTGCTGTTTCCCTCAGAGTTCAGATCAGTGGTCTGTTTCCCATCAGAGTTCAGATCAGTGTCCTGTTTCCCTCAGAGTTCAGATCAGTGTCCTGTTTCCCTCAGAGTTCAGATCAGTGTCCTGTTTCCCTCAGAGTTCAGATCAGTGTGCTGTTTCCCTCAGAGTTCAGATCAGTGTCCTGTTTCCCTCAGAGTTCAGATCAGTGTCCTGTTTCCCTCAGAGTTCAGATCAGTGTGCTGTTTCCCTCAGAGTTCAGATCAGTATCCTGTTTCCCTCAGAGTTCAGATCAGTATCCTGTTTCCCTCAGAGTTCAGATCAGTATCCTGTTTCCCTCAGAGTTCAGATCAGTTTGCTGCTACAGACAGAGAGTGGAGGGATTAATAACAGCATCTCGATCCCCTTCGCCTGAGAGAAAGGGATTAATAACAGCATCTCGATCCCCTTCGCCTGAGAGAAAGGGATTAATAACAGCATCTCGATCCCCTTCGCCTGAGAGAACTTCTGGGCCACACACATTCTCACACACACAACAGCACTCACACAAACATGAGTTTCTAGTGGTTGTTGTCACTAGTACAGTGAAATGCCTTTCTAGTTGTTATTGCCGTTGGTAGCAAATCTGCGATCCATCTTATTATCAAGAGAATGTGTAATTGCCCAATAGAATGGAGGGAGAAGGTGGCTTTTCTCCTTTTGCCTTAATCTGGCCAGGGCTCCCCTCTCCTGCCTCTTTTTCGGCGCTGTTTCCTCTTGGATGGTCCGAAGATTGGGTCGGAATTACACAAAGAGCCCAGGGGCAGATGAGTTGAAATCGAAGTTTAAGCCAGAATTTTTGTAATTAACTGCTGATCTGATGTTCAAAAGTTATTGTCGGTTATAAGAAATGATAGCGGATACATTAATAAACGCCAAAATAATCACTAAATAGCAAAGTTGGGTCAGAGCTTGCAAGACAGCAGCCATACGGTAGAGAGGCCAGGGAGATGGTCATAGACAGGCAGGCCAGGGAGAGGGTCATAAAATATAATAAATGCTTCTGGACAAGTCTTGTTGGTTGGCAACCAGCATTCCATGGACAGGTGCAGCATGTTTACTGAACAAACAGGCCAGGCATGCAAATGGATGGCAGAAAAATTAACATGGAGGCTGGAGATTCCATGACCCGTGAAAAACAGCTCCCCATCCAAACCAACATACTATCTATCTTTGTGTATCTGTTTGTGGATGCATAATGTATGTGTGTGGGTGTGTGGGTGTGTGTATGGTGTGTGGGTGTGTGGGTGTGTGTGTGTGTGGGTGTGTGTGTGTGGGGTGGTTGGTGTGTGGTTGTATGTGTGTGTGTGTTTGTGTGGGGTGTGGGTGTGTGTGTGTGTGTGTGTGTGTGTGTGTGTGTGTGTGTGGGTGTGGGTGTATCTCTCTAGGGGCTTGGGGCTATGACTAGCTCTGAAGGTGTTCCTGGGAGGGAGATGAGCAGAGCTGCGTGCCAAACCAGGATCGCTAGTGTCTCCCAGAATGTGTCTTATGTTACTCTGACACCCTGAGCATCTCACTGATCCCAGGCAGCTCCGCTCAGGGTGTTAGCATCCCACTGATCCCAGGTAGCTCCGCTCAGGGTGTTAGCATCACACTGAACCCAGCCAGCTCCGCTCAGGGTGTTTAGCACCCCACTGAACCCAGCCACTCCGCTCAGGGTGTTGCATCTCACTGATCCCGAGCAGCTCCGCTCAGGGTGTTAGCATCTCACTGATCCCAGGCAACTCTGCTCAAGGTGTTAGCATCCCACTGATCCCAGGTAGCTCCGCTCAGGGTGTTAGCATCCCACTGATCCCAGGCAGCTCCGCTCAGGGTGTTAGCATCCCACTGAACCCAGCCAGCTCCGCTCAGGGTGTTAGCATCTCACTGATCCCAGGTAGCTCCGCTCAGGGTGTTAGCATCCCACTATCCCAGGCAGCTCCGCTCAGGGTGTTTAGAAATCCCCTGAACCCAGCCAGCTCCGCTCAGGGTGTTAGCATCCCACTGAACCCAGGCAGCTCCGCTCAGGGTGTTAGCATCCCACTGAACCCAGGCAGCTCCGCTCAGGGTGTTAGCATCCCACTGATCCCAGGCAGCTCCGCTCAGGGTGTTAGCATCCCACTGGAACCCAGGCAGCTCCGCTCAGGGTGTTAGCACCCCACTGATCCCAGGCACTCCGCTCAGGGTGTTAGCATCCCACTGAACCCAGCCAGTTTCCGCCCCAGGTGTTAGCACTAAACTGATCCCAGGGGCAGCTCCGCTCAGGGTTGTTACCCATCCCACTGATCCCAGGTAGCTCCGCTCAGGGTGTTAGCATCCCACTGATCCCAGGCAGCTCCGCTCAGGGTGTTAGCATCCCACTGATCCCAGGCAGCTCCGCTCAGGGTGTTAGCATCCCACTGAACCCAGCCAGCTCTGCTCAGGGTGTTACCCATCCCACTGATCCCTGCAGCTCCGCTCAGGGTGTTAGCATCCCACTGAACCCAGGCAGCTCTGCTCAGGGTGTTAGCATCCCACTGATCCCAGGCAGCTCCGCTCAGGGTGTTAGCATCTCATTTGATCCCAGGTAGTTTCCGCTCAGGGTGTTAGCATCTCACTGACCCCAGCAGCTCCGCTCAGGGTGTTAGCATCTCACTGATCCCAGGTAGCTCCGCTCAGGGTGTTAGCATCCCACTGAACCCAGGCAGCTCCGCTCAGGGTGTTAGCATCTCACTGATCCCAGGTAGCTCCGCTCAGGGTGTTAGCATCACACTGAACCCAGCCAGCTCCGCTCAGGGTGTTAGCATCCCACTGATTCCAGGCAGCTCCGCTCAGCGTGTTAGCATCTCACTGATCCCAGGCAGCTCCGCTCAGGGTGTTAGCATCCCACTGATCCCAGGCAACTCTGCTCAAGGTGTTAGCATCCCACTGAACCCAGGCAGCTCCGCTCAGGGTGTTAGCATCCTAAATGGCACCCTATCCTCTATATAGTGCACTACTTTTGAATGGACCCTGGTCAAAAGAAGTGCACTATATAGGGAATAGGGTGCCATTTGGGACACACACTAACAGCCATAAGACTGGTGGTTGACCTCTTAGAAGGGAGAAGATTCCTCACCTCAGAAGAGGTGTCACCTTTACCTCACTGTTCCTCCTCCCAGATTTGTAGCTTCTCATTCATAACCAAAAGATGTATGAATTAGACTATTACCCAGTACACCTAGGGTTCTGAATGGGGTGTTGTTGAATGGGTGGTTGTTCTATGTTCAACTGTTTTGAATGGGTGGTTGTTCTACGTTCAACTGTACAGCAGAGAACGAGATTCCAGGCACGAGGGTTGATTAATCTCAAATCTCTTTCTTAACACTGTGAGACCAAAGCATATATCCGAATTAGGGAAAAAATACTTCTGATAGGCCTCTGATTATACAAAGAATCCGTTTTTTTTCTATTTGTGGTAAGAAAATGATTAAATAAAAATCAAACAAAAGCATTGACGTGATGGAAAATATTGTCTTATGGTGTATACAGTACAATGTGAAATTAACACAAAGGAGCTGATCGTGGACTACAAGAAAAGGAGGGCCGAACATGTCCCCATTAACATTGACGGGGCTGTAGTGGAGCTGGTCGAGAGCTTCAAGTTCCTTGGAGTCCACATCCCCATTAAACTATCATGGTCCAAACACACCAAGACAGTCGTGAAGAGGGCACGACAACACCTTTTCCCCCTCAGGACACTGAAAAGATTTGGCATGTGTCCCCAGATCCTCAAAGTTCTACAGCTGCACCATCGAGAGCATCCTGACCGGTTGCATCACCGCCTGGCATGGCAACTGCTCGGCATCTGACTGTAAGGCGCTAGAGAGGGTAGTGCGTACGGCCCAGTACATCACTGGGGCCAAGCTTCCTGCCATCCATGACCTCTATACCAGGCGGTGTCAGAGGAAGGCCCAAAAAATTGTCAAAGACTCCAGTCAACCAAGTCATAGACTGTTCTCTCTGCTACCGCACGACAAGCGGTACCAGAGCGCCAAGTCTAGGTCCAAAAGGCTCCTTAACAGCTTCTACCCCCAAGCTATAAGACTGCTGAACGGTTAATCAAATGGCCACCTGGACTATTTGCATTGTCCCCCCAACCCCACCCCACCCCATCTTTTACGCTGCTGCTACTCTCTGTTTATTATCTATGCATAGTCACTTTACCCCTACCTACATGTACATATTACCTCAATTACCTCCACTAACCTGTACCCCCGCACATTGACTCGTTACCGGTACCCCCTGTATATAGCCTCGTTATTGTATGTAATTTTATTGTGTTACTTTTTATTACATTTTTTACTTTAGTTTATTTAGTAAATATTTTCTTAACTCTATTTCTTGAACTGCATTGTTGGTTAAGGGCTTGTAATTAAGCATTTCACGGTAAGGTCTACACCTGTTGTATTCGGCGCATGTGACAAATACAATTTGATTTGATTAAGTCATATTTTGTCTGAAATAGCAACATTTATCAACTTGATCTATCCTAATTGTATTATTTTCCCATCAAAACCATATATTTTTGAAAGGATCAAGTATTTTGTGGGTTTTCTATGTATGGAGAACATCTAACTTAATATTTATTTTCTGGTTTTAACCTGGAGAGAACCTCCTGTCTTACTTTACTATCAAGTTAATGTTCTTAATATTAAGTATATATTAATATTATAATAATATATAATAATATTAATATTAATTCTTAACATGATAGTACATCAAAGTTACTCCTCAAGTATTTGGTTGTCCATATTTTCAGAATTTGGAAGGGAATGAAAATGTATGCACTCACTAACTGTAAGTCGCTCTGGATAAGAGCGTCTGCTAAATGACTAAAATGTACATGAAACGATCTCTCTAACTTGTCTATCAATATGTAAACGTCTCAGGTTGGCATCACTGCTACCTCTAGCTCTGGCTCAGAATGTTTGTTTCTCCATTATTTATTTTCTACATAATCACCACATCTTAGAGAAGACAGGAAAATACAAAGGACAATATTCCAACTCATGCAGTTCAATGGATGGCTAACAACCTCTGCCTGTGTAGGGGACCAGTGACGTCTCAGATGAGTGGACGGGTTTCTTATGTTTCAGAGGCATACTGACACACAACAATACTACTAAGAGATACATCTGGGTCTAAGGAGATGCACTAGGTTGTGTTGGACATGATTTTTGAGTTTAGGACCTGTATAGGATGCAATTTAGGCAGCGTTGTATTTTTTGCAACTGTGGGTCTCACCAGGGTTAAACTTTCTTAGTCCAAGCTGTGCATATACGGCTTGTCTTTCTGCTACGTGTGTCGATAATGTAGATGAAATCTCTGATTATTTTCAGAAGGAAGGGAGACTCAAGCTGCCAGTTGATCAGTTAGATGTTATTTTAGTAAGTATAATTGGAGTGATGTTCAGCCCATATTCCCTCCCCGAGGCGTTGGCTTACCTTCCCAGAATGGAACGCTGATTAGAACGCCTCTCACGTGATTCATCACCCTGCTCTGCACCTCGCCCATGCAGACAATCTAACACACCTGAATGATACACACCTGAATGCACAGGTAAGGATCACAAACTTTTTAAAGCAGTTTGTAAATCACCTTTCTACACCTTTCCACTAACAGACTCCCTCAATGCCTTTCTTCACCCATAAACTCATCACTTAACTTTTAGTATTTTCATGAATCATTTCCAAATCTTTTGTTTGACATGTTCATAAATCTGTGATGAGGAGACACAAAAGTTTCCTCAGCTTCCTGTTAAGGCTAGGGCTGATTTCAAGGTGTTACTGCTAACCTACAAAGCATTACATGGGCTTGCTCCTACCTATCTCTCTGATTTGGTCCTGCCGTACATACCTACACGTACGCTACAGTCACAAGACGCAGGCCTCCTTATTGGCCCTATTTCTAAGCAAACAGCTGGAGGCAGGGCTTTCTCCTATAGAGCTCAATTTTTATGGAATGGTATGCCTATCCATGTGAGAGATGCAGACTCGGTCTCAACCTTTAAGTCTTTACTGAAGACTCATCTCTTCAGTAGGTCCTATGATTGAGTGTAGTCTGGCCCAGGGGTGCGAAGGTGAACGGCAAGGCACTGGAGTGACGAACCGCCCTTGCTGTCTCTGCCTGGCCGGCTCCCCTCTCTCCACTGGGATTCTCTGCCTCTGACCCTATTACGGGGGCTGAGTCACTGGCTTACTGGTGCTTTCCATGCCGTCCCTAGGAGGGGTGCATCACTTGAGTGGGTTGAGTAACTGACGTGATCTTCCTGTCCGGTTTGTCGCTCCTCCTCAGGGTCGTGCGGTGGAGGAGATCTTCATGGGCTATACTCAGCCTTGTCTCAGGGTAGTAGGTTGGTGGTCTGTTGATATCCCTCTGGTAGTGTGGGGGCTGTGCTTTGGCAAAGTGGTTGGCCCTGTACGGGAGTATTGTCGGACGGGGCCACAGTGTCCCCCCCCCACAGTGTCCCCCGACCCCCACTTCTGTTTTCGACTCTGTTTCTCTCTACCGCACCTGCTGTCTCGACCTCTGAATGCTTGGCCATGAAAAGCCAACTGACATTTACTCCTGAGGTGCTGACCTGTTGCACCCTCTACAACCACTGTGATTATTATTTGACCCTGCTGGTCATCTATGAACGTTTGAACATCTTGAAGATCAATCTGGCCTTAGTGGCCATGTTCTCTTATAATTTCCACCCGGCACAGCCAGAAGAGGACTGGCCACCCCTCAGAGTTTGGTTCCTCTCTGGGTTTCTTTCTAGGATCCTGCCTTTCTAGGGAGTATTTCCTAGCCACCGTGCTTCTACATCTGCATTGCTTGCTGTTTGGGGTTTTAGACTGGGTTTCTATAGAAAGAACTTTGTGACATCTGCTGATGTAAAAAGGGCTTCATAAATACATTGAATTGATTGATTGATGAAAGGCAATGTTCCAGCGTATGTATTCATTTGTCAGTTGAATGGCAAATTGCCTTCAAAAGCCGCAATGTCTACAACCTGTGATCGTATTGAATCTCGGCCTAAGAGTATTCGGAGTATTGACTTGGCTGATTGCTATTTTTTTTTTGTTATACCAGAATGCAAAGTATCTTCCAGTACAGAATAAAAATCTGTATGACATCTTATTTTAGTGTTCCTCTTGTGAAACGGCAGTACGTCAGCGTAGTTGTGAAACCATCTGGAGGGCTATAGCTACCTCCATGTGCTCTGCTCTCATTTATATGGCAGCTGATCCAAGGTGTTTTCTTTATACCTCTTTTACAACCGGGGCTTCGGCCCAAATGGCACTCTGTTCTCTATATAGTACACTACCCCCTATGGGCCCTGGTCAAAAGTAGTGCGCTATTTAGGGAGTAAAGGGGACATTTGGGACGCACGCCTGAAGGTGAAGCACAGAGCGACGGATGGATGAGGAGGGTGGGTGCCTTGCCCCGTGGGCAGAACGCTGCTTGATCCTGGATTAGAGACACGTCCTCAGCTCAGAGAGGAAATCTGTTAACCCTTCCAGCCCTACGGTTATGATACATGATCCTAAAGGGTGACAACTAAAACATATCCTTTACCTGTTAGGATAACAGCTGCCCTTACTGCAGGGATAATGGCTGCTTTGTAGGAAAGGAAGGGGCCACATCAGCTTTAACTGATGCCTATTTGACCTTCTTGCCCATTGCAGGCCTATAGGCTTAAGTTGTGTAGGATGTCTGTTTGATTGATGTAGGACATCTGGTTTATTTTGCACTTGTCAGACTTTAAAGGACACCACATTACAAGGAAAACAGAAAATCCCAAAACCAAATATTTACAAAGACTGTTTAAGGCATATAAATGAAAGACTGTTTAAGGCGTATAAATGATTCTGATCAATGTATCAATGATCATATGTATTTTACTTTCACTCTCATAATGCATGTAGATTCTTGAAAGTCAGGACAATCCTTGTCCCCAGGGAACTTACATTTTAATAGTTGGAAAAAGTGCATTTTGTTGCATTATTTGAGTTTTAAAATTACATTTTGGCGCATTTTATCAAGGGAAAGTTTTGTTTTAGGAATGTTGAAATATTTTCTATATTTTTCATTTCAATGTCGGTTCTATGCCCCGAAATAGCCTTTTCTGGAGCGAAGGATCCCAATTTCTAACTCTCCAAAAAGGTGTTTAAAATAAAATAAAAACAACATACCCTACCTTACAACACTACCTACCCTACCTTACAACACTACCTACCTTACACAAAAAACACTACCTACCTTCACACTACTACCTACAACACTAACCTACCATTACCACACTACCTACCCTACCTACCTACACATACCTACCCTCCTTACAACACGACCCATACACCTACCTACAACACTACGAACTATCCCTACCATTACAACACTACCTACCCTAACCTTAGCAACACATCACCTACTCCTACCTTACCCAAACTACCCTAACCCTCCCCATTACAACCCTACCTACCCCTACCTTACCACACTACCCCTATCCTCACCTCCAACACTACCTACACCTACCTCCTACCAACACCTAACCCTACCTCCCTACTCCCCTTACCCAACACACCCCCTTCTACCTACCCTACCCCCCCTTACAACCAACTACCTCACCCCCTCACCTTACACACACTACCTCCTTACACACACTACCTACACCCCTTACACACTACCCCTACCCCTCCCTTACACCCCCACACTACCTCACCCCCTCACCCCCATACAACCACTACCCTCCCAACCTCCACAACACTAAACTACCTACCTTACCTTACACACTACCTAACCCTACCTTACACACTAAACTACCTACCCTACCTTACAACCTACCTCCTTACAACTACTTCAAAAACCTTTAAACCTTCACAACACTACCCCTCCCCTACCATTACAAACACCCCTACCCTACCCCTACCATACACCAACCTACCATCGACCCCTTACCACACCACTACACTACCTTACCCGTACAAACACTACCCTACCCTTACCTTACAACAAAACACTACCCTAACCTCACCCCTTACACACTACCTACCCCTACCCTTCACAACACTCACCTCCCCTCCCCCTTACAAACACCTACCCCCTACCCTACCTCCATACCCCTTACACACCACCTACCTACCCTACCTACCAACCACTACTACCCTACCCTTATCCACACTGACCTACCCTTCGCGAGCACACTACCCTACCCCTCCTACAACACTACCTACCCTAAACTTACAAACACTACCTCCCCTACCTTACAACACTACCTACCCTACCTTACAACACTACCTACCTACCTTACAACACTACCTACCCTACCTTACAACACTACCTACCCTACCATACAACACTACCTACCCTACCTTACAACACTACCTACCCTACCTTACAACACTACCTACCCTACCCACTACAACACTCCTAACCCTACCCTACCCATTACAACACACCTCTAGACCCTACTCGTTACACACACTACCTAACCGACTATACCTCCCTACCTACAACACTACCTACCTTACCTTACAACACTACCTACCTTACTTACAACACTACCTACCCTACCTTACAACACTACCTACCCAACCTTACAACACTACCTACCCTACCTTACAACACTACCTACCCTACCTTACAACACTACCTACCTTACAACACTACCTACCTTACCTTACAACACTACCTACCCTACCTTACAACACTACCTACCTTACAACACTACCTACCCTACCTTACAACACTACCTACCCTACCTTACAACACTACCCTACCCTACCTTACAACACTACCTACCCTACCTTAAACGACTAAACCTACCCTACTACAACCAAAAAAAACCCTACCCTACCCTACCTTATACAACACTACCACCTAACCCCAACCTACCCTGAAAACCTACCTACAACACTACTACCCTACCTTACAACACTACCCTACCTTCACAACACTTCTAACCTACCTTACAACACTACCCCCCCTACCTTCCAACACTCTACCTACCCACCCTTCAACACTACCTACCCTAACTTACAACACTACCATACCTTACACACTACCACCTCACCTATCTTAACAAACCCTACCAATACCGCTACCCTTACCAACAACCACCTACCCTACCTTACAACAACCCAACCTACCCTCAGACCGTTACCTTACCCTATCCTGGGTACGTCTACCATACAACACTAGTCCTACCTTACAGACCACCTAGCCCGTACATACAACCTACCGTGACCCTACCTACACACCACTCACCCTCCCTACCCACCTAACACAACCTCACCCTACCTTACAACTACTACCGGTACCCTACTACACACTACCCTACCCCCTAACCTTACAATACACACTACATACCCTACCTTACAACCCTACCTACCCTACCAACTTACAACCTACCTTACCCCTACCTTACCAACCCTACCATACCCTCACCGTACAAACACTACCTACCCTACAACACTCGACCTACCCTACCTTACACAACTACCTACCCACTACCCATTACAACACTACCATACCCTAACCTTACACACACCTACACACACACTAACCAATCCAGACCCTACCCTCTACACACACTAACCTACCGTCACACCACTACCCCTACCCTACCTTACAACCCCCTACCCTACCCCTACCTTACCACACACGCACCCCACCCACCCTCCCTTCACAACACGACCCCTACCCTACCTTACAAACACCTAAACCTACCCCCGACCCCACTTACCCCACTAACAACTACCTTACAACCCCCGGTGACCTTACAGACACGAGCTACCTGTACGCGCTACCTTACAACACTACCCTCTACCCTACCCCCGTACAACACCCCACCAACACTACCTATCCCCTACCTTCACCCCAACACTCACCCTACCTGACACACCTCCTACCCCTACCTTAACCACCTTACACCACCCTAACCCCTACCCCCTACCCCCATTACCCAAACCCCTACCCTACCCCCTACCCTTACCAACACACACCCCCCCCCTACCGCCTACCCTTACAACACCTACCCCCCTACCCTGACCTTACACCCCCCTACCCAACACACTGACCCCTACCGCTAGGCCCTTACAGACACTACCGCTCCCTAGTCCTTACAACCTACCTACCCTACCTTTCCAACACTACCTACACCCGTAGGAGGCCGATTGCAAGCACTAAACCCTACCCTCACCTTACAACACTACCCATACCCTAACCTTACAAACACTAACCTACCCTACCATACAACACTACACCTACCTACCTTACAACACTACCTACCCATTAAACAACACTACCTACCCTACCCTTACACCACTACCTACCCACCTTCACACCTACCTACCCTACCTTACAACACAACACTACCAACCTTACTTACTACACCTAACCTAACACAACACTTACTACACTAACAAACTACACACACAACTAACCTACCTACTACAACAACTCACAAACACACTAACCACAAACACACACTAACACACAAACAACACTACACACACTAACAAACCTAACAAACCACACACACACCACAACTAACCTACCACTCCCTAACTAACACAAACTACACACACTACCCACACCCTAACACACAATCACTAACCACACAACACAACACTACACACTAACCTAAACAACAACACACAACCTACTACAACAACACAAACACACAACACTAACCTACACACACATAACTACACACACAACCTACACACCACTAACCCACTAACAACAACAACACACTAACCTACACACACACAAACAACAACCACCTAAACCAACAACTACAACACCTAACTACAACACCAACCTCCCAACACACACCTAAACTACACACACAACACTAACACCAACCTAACTAACTACACAACAACCAACACTACACACCATAACCTAACCAACACACACTAACCTACACACACACTAACCTACACACACACTAACCTACACACACACTAACCTACACACACACTAACCTCACACACACTAACCTACACACACACTAACCTACACACACAACATAACCTACACCTACACACTCACTAACACAACACACAACACACTAACACACACACAACACAACACCACCCAAAAACCTACCACACCAACCCACACACACCCTACCTAACAACACACCTAACTAACCACACAAACTACTCAACTACCACACACACTAACCTACAACACACAACACACCTACAACCATAACCTACACACAACACCACTAACAACTACACACCACTAACCACCTACACAACAACACTAAACCTACACCACACACACACACACACAACACTACGAACCAACACACTAACCTAACACACAACACCAACTACCACCACACTAACCTACACCACAACCCACACACCACCTAACCTAACCACACAACTAACCACAACACACACCTACAACACACACACTACACCTCACAACACACTCACTAACACCCCCAAACCTAATACAACACAACTCACACAACACTAACACCTACAACAACCCAACTAACCTACAACACACACCTACACACTAACAACCACAACACACACCTAACTAACACAACACACACACACTAACACAACAACACACTACACACACTAACACCTACACACACAAAACTAACCTACACACAACACTAACCCACACAACACTACCTACAACACACTAACCTTAACCACACCTACACTAAACTACTACACACACCTACAACTACACTACTAACTACCCACTTCACAACTAAAAACAACTTACTGTAAAATCTAACCAACGAAACAACAACAATCCTGTAACAGCTAACCACTAACTAACAAACAACACTACTGTAGAAACAGCCTAACCACTAACCTCAAAACAAACACTAATGTAACAGCTTTACTAAACCACTATAACCACTACCTACAAACAACACAACTATTTGTAACAGCTAAACCACACCTAACTACTAACCTAACACAAACTACTGTTAACAGCTAACCCCCTAATAAACTAACTACTAACTAACAACAACTACTGTAACGCTAAACCACTAACTACTAACTAACAACTACTATAACAGCCTACCACCTAACTAACTAACTAACTAACTAACAACAAGACTACTGAACAGCTAAAACCCCCTACCTTAACACAACACTAACTGTAACAGCTAACCCACTAATTACTAACCTAACTAACTACAACACTACTGTAAAACAAGCTAACCACTAACTATATTAACTAATACAAACTTACTGTAACAGCAAACCACTACTACCTAACAACAAAAACTAATAATGTAACAAGCTAACCAACTAACTAACTAACAACAACTACTGTAACCAAGCTCAACGCCTAACTAAACTAACTAACAACACTACTGTAAACAGCTAACCCCACTAACTCCCTAACAACACCAACTACTGTAACAGCCTTAACCACTACCTAACCTACAACCCAACTACCTGTAAATCCTAACCACTACTAAACTAATTAACAACAACTCCTGTAACAGCTTAACCACTAACTACCAACAACAACAAACTACTTGTAACAGCTACCACTAAACTACAACAACCAAAACTAACTGTAAAGCTAACCATAACTTAACCTAACACACAACAACCACAACCCTACTTCACCAACCTACTTGTCACAAGCTAACCACTAACTAACAACAACAACCTACTGGTAAACAGCTACCACTACTAACAACAACAACTACTGTAACAGCTAACAACGAACTAACTACAACAACAACCTACTGTAAACGCGGCTAACCACTAACCTATAACTACTACAACAACAACTTACTGTAACAGGCTAAACCCCTAACCACCTAACAACCAAACACTAACTGTAACACTAACCACTAACTACACAACAACAGACTTACTGTTAACGCTCCTCACTAAATCTATAACACAACACAACTCCTATAACAACTACCACCCTAACTAACTAACAACAAACACCAACAACAATACTGTAACAGCTACCCCACTACCTACCACAACAACTACTGTAACAGCCGAACCCACTAACTACCAACACACTACTGTAACAGCTCTAACCCAACTAACTAAACCTTAAACAACACACAACCACACTGTAACAGCTAACCACAACTAACAACAACAACTAACCTGTAACATCTAACCACTAACTAACACAAAACCACTACTGTTAACAGCTAACCACTCTTTAACTAACTAACAACAACCACCACGTAACAGCTAACCAAACTAACTAACCCTACCTAACAACAACACTACTGTAACAGCTTAAAACTAACTAACCAACCAACACGAACTGTTTAACAAGCTAACCACTAACTAACTACAGCAACAACAACAAACAAACAACTACTAACTACTGTACACAGCTAACCCCACTAACCTAAAACAACAACAACTACTTAACAGCTAACCACTAACTAACAACAACAACTACTGTAACAGCTAACCACTAACTAACTAACTACAACAACAACAACTACTGTAACAGCTAACCACTAACTAACAACAACAACTACTGTAACAGCTAACCACTAACTACAACCAACAACTACTGTAACAGCTAACCACTAACTAACTGCACTTAATAACTGACAAAAACAACAACTACTGTAAACAGCTAACCACTACTACCTAACAAAACACAACTACTGTACAGCTAACCACCTAACTAACAACATACAACAACTACCTGTAACCAGCTAACCACAACTAACTAACAACAACTCTGTAACAGCCTAACCAACTAACAACAACAACGACCTGTAACTGCTTAAACCTCACTAACTACAACAACAACACCTACTGTAAGCAGCTAAACCCACTAACTGAACCCCACACACACCTACCTGTAAACAGCTAACCCTAACTAACCACTAAACTACCTAACACAACAACTACTGTTAACAGCTAACCACGTAACCTAAAACAAACAACACTACTGTAACAGCTAAAACCACTTAACTAACTCACACACAACTACTGTACAGCTAAACCACTACACACTAACAACAACAACTACTGTAACAGCTAACCACTAACTAACTAACAAAAACTACTGTAACAGCTAACCACTAACTAACTAACTACACTAACTATAACATCTAACCCACTTAACTCAACCAACTAACTAAACAACACTAAACTGTAAAACCAACATTTCTAACCCAACCACCTACACCTAACAACACAACTACTGTAACAGCTAACCACTAATACTAACTAACTAAACTAACTCACAACAAAACTACTGTAACAGCTAAACCACTAAACTACCTAACTAACTAACACTACTTAACAAGCCTAAACCACTAACTAACAAACAATACTGTAACGCTAACCACTACTAACTAACAACAACTACTGTAACATCTAACCACTAACTAACTAATAACAACAACTACTGTAACAGCTAACCACTAACTACCTAACACAACAACTACTGTAACAGCTAACCACTAACTAACTAACACTACCAACTACTGTAACAGCTAACCACTAACTAACTACCTAACAACAACAACTACTGTAACAGCTAACCACTAACTAACTAACAACAACTACTGTAACAGCTAACCACTAACTAACTAACAACAACTACTGTAACAGCTAACCACTACACAACAACAACGACTGGAAACAGCTAACCACTAACACTACTAACAAACAAACCCACCTAACTGTAAAAGCTAACCACTAACTAACCTTAACAACCAACACTACTGTACACAGCTACTAACACACTAACTAACAACAAACACTACCCTACTGTAACAGGCTAACCAACTTACTAACTAACAACAACAACAACTACTGTCACATCTAAACCACTACCTAAACAACAACAAACTTACTGTAACAAGCCCTTAACAACACTAACTAAGAACAACAACTACTGTAACACAGCTAAAAAAACCACGTAACTAACTAACAAACAACAAAAACACTCTAGTAAAACAGCTAACCAACTTACCCACTAACTAAACAACAACACACTCATGTAAACCGGCTAACCACTACCTAACAACAAACCAACAACACTACTGTAAACAGCTAACCACTAACTACTAACAACAAAACGACTAACTGGTAACATCTAAACCCACCCTAAACTACCTAACAACAACACTACTGTAACAGCTACAAAACCACTAACTAACAAAACACAACTGTATCATCTAACCAATCCACACTAACTAACTTAACACCAACTACCCTGTAACAGCTAACCAACTAACAACAACAACTACTGTAACAGCTAACCACTAACTAACAACAACAACTATTGTAACAGCTAACCACCTAACAACAACAACTACTGTAACAGCTAACCACTAACTAACTAACACCAACACAAACTACTGTAACTAGATACACCACTAACTAACAACAAAACACTACGTAACAGCTAACCACTAACTAACAACAACAACTACTGTAACAGCTAACCACTAACTACTAAACAACAACAACTACTGTAACAGCTAACCACTAACTACCTAACAACAACAACTACTAGTAACAGCTAACCACTAACTAACAACAACAACTACTGTAACAGCTAACCACTAACTAACAACAACAACTACTGTAACAGCTAACCAGAACTAACAACAACAACTACTGTAACAGCTAACCACTAACTAACAACAACAACTACTGTAACAGCTAACCACTAACTAACAACAACAACTACTGTAACAGCTAACCACTAACTAACAACAACAACTACTGTAACAGCTAACCACTAATAACTAACTAACTAACTAACAACAACTACTGTAACAGCTAACCACTAACTAACTAACTAACAACTACTATAACAGCTAACCACTAACTAACTAACTAACTAACTAACTAACAACACTACAACTATACTGTAACAGCTAAAACCCACCCTACCGAACACAACACTACTGTACCAGCTAAAAACGCAACTAATAACTAAACTAACTACTAAACAACAACTAACTGTAAAAGCTAACCACTATAACTAACCTAAATAACAACTACTGTAACAGCTAACCACTTAACTAACAACAACAACTACTGTAACAGCTAACCACTACACTAACAACAACAACAACTACTGTAACAGCTAACCACTAAACTAACAACAACAACTACTGTAACAGCTAACCACTAACTAACTAACAACAACAACTACTGTAACAAGCTAACCAACTACTACTAACAACAACAACTACTGTAACAGCTAACCACTACCTAAACCAAACAACAACTACTGTAACAGCTAACCACTAACTAACAACAACAACTACTGTAACAGCTAACCACTAACTAACTAACAACAACAACAACTACTGTAACAGCTAACCACTACTAACTAACAACAACAACTACTGTAACAGCTAACCACTAACCAACAACAACTACTGTAACAGCTAACCACTACTACCTAACAAAAAAACAAACACACTGTACGGCTTTTAACCACTAACCTAACTCACAACCAACACTACTGTAACCAGCTTAACCACTTAACTACCTACAACAACAACTACTGTACAGCTAAAACCCACCTAACTACCTAACCAACAACAACTACTGTTAAACAGCTAAACCACTAACTCACAACACAGCTACTGTTAACAGCTAACCACTACCTAACAACATAACCACACTGTAACAGCTAACCACTAACTACCTAACAACACACAACAACTAAATTAACTGTAACAGCTAACCCCCTAACTAACAAACAACAACAACTCCTGTACACGCTAACCACTAACTAAACTAACACAACAACAACTACTGTAACGCTACCACTAACCTAACAACAACAAAACAACTACTGTAACAGCTAACCCACTAACTAAAAAAAACTAAAAACACAACTTACTGTTTACCAGCTAACCACTTAACTAACAACAACAACTACTACTGTAACATCTAACCACTTAACTAACAACCAACACTGAAC